TCTGGGTTACTTATAATTTACCAAATTAGTAAAATACATCTTACCAGATTATCACAGTTGTAGAAGTCTAATCATAGTATCTCATCCCAGCTTCTACCCCATTCCAAGAACGTGGCTATTCGAATAGATTTAATAAACTCTATAGAGGTGTACAAATTTCCCCACATGATAGGCGTAGTCGACACCAGGGCCAGTGGCGCGACAGGCTAACGAGATCTTGTACCCTAATGTACGTGGCCTTAGATGTCCATATAATTCTACCACGGCTTCTCAGGGGTTGGAAAACACACTAAACTCAGGAGGATATACCAAATCATTCCATCTCATAATCTAGGATGATACCACATCATCCCATCATAAAATCTCAGACGATACCAAATCATCCCAACATAATAGTGCCAATGATACCAAATCATCAATAATATGGGCTCGAACACGACCAAATATATAACAACATGGGCTCGAACGCAGCCAAAAAATCCAAGGGTTTGACATGGAGGATCACATAGCAACCACGCTAACGAGGCCACAGAAGATCACATAGCATATGTGCCTGGTCCTGATATTTCACTACCAACACCGGCCTCCTAGTAGAAATTATACTTCTATCTAACGGGGTGTGAGATCAAGTCTACCCATATAGACATGTGGCTATACATAATATCTCACTAGGCAAGAGGGACTACGAACCAGGTCCTTATGTGACTGAGGCGAGTATCTCCCATAGGAACTCTCTCTAGGTGCTCCTGCCAAGGTAATTTACCTCCATAAATTACCCCCACTCGCCCCCTATCGGGGTTTAGTCAAGTTTTACCAATTTTAAGTTCAAGTTATTATCCTCAGGTTCATAGAGCTCATCTCGTATCTAGGTAACCATTACCTCATCACAATATCGTACTCAAGCTTATATCATATCAGGATAATTGTCATCAATGTTCACATTAGCATAACCGAGCTCATGACCCATTATAATTCCATTAATTCATAAAAGGTTATTTAAGTAATATAAGTTGAGTTTATTAATTAGTGGCGATGGAAAGTGGAGGATTTATGGTGGAGGCTAGCAAGGTGTGGTAGTGGTGAAAGGGGGTGGTTAAGGGATGGCATGTAATGTAGAGGGAAGGAATAGGTGGGTGTTAGGACTTGCCTCCATTCGTTGATGATTATATTCTTGTCAAATTCCTATCTCTCCTGCTCCTGTCTTCTGGACTTGTAGGTTCCATCGGATTCTCTCCACATCTTCTATCCTACGCGGTCTAGTGTTGACAAGCAAGAAAGCACAAACAAGGAAAATAACAAGCAAGGCATGTAAAACAAGCATAGGCAACCAAAGAAGGAAACGATCCTAGATGGGTTGATCCTATTGGGTGATGGGTTGTTGTCTAAGGCTATCACTACTATGTCAATTTGAAGTAACGTTTGGATGAAGATATTTCATCCATAGGGTAGGGCTTCTATGGGTTGGGTTAAGGTGGGTGGTTGGTCTGATGAAAACCAGACCACATTATTATTAGGCTTCGCTATTATGTGAACCTGAAAGAGAAAGATGACCAAGTCATCATAGATGACCTGGTTTCTACAGGTCCACCGGGTTAGTGACACATACACATATACATATGTGTGTGCCCAAGATTAGTTAGGATGGAGAAAGGCGGAATATAAAGTTAGCCATACCTAGGCGTATACCAAGGTATCGGGCATATCCTTGTATGTATACATGTCCTACTATTTTGGGTGGTGGGTGTGGATATATTCGAGTATGTGTCATGGTACATACACATACGCGAATATACGGGGGTTAACTACTACTACGGCGAATGGTTTTACTATAATTAGTATTAATTTTAATATAGGAAAGGAAAAACAACCAAACTAGAATTTAATTGGGCACCAAATAATAGAACAAGGAATATGAATAAGTAGAGATTGAATTTAGAAGATTTTTGGTGGAAGAATCATGTGATTTGGAGTTAGGATGGAGGAGATATGATTTATCAAAGATTTAATGGGAAAAGAATATGTGGAATATAACTTGGGAATTAATTCTAGAAATTGGAGTAATGCAAATGAGATGAAAGTTTTTGAGTAGGATCTGGGGTGTACCTAGTTTATTTAGGAATTTTCATGGAATTTTTCCATGCACAGAAAATTGTTTGGCAGCCTCCTATGTACACTGCTCGGGTGCACCTAGCAGTTTTCCCTCGGGTTCAGTGGCTGACGCGCGGGCCAGCATGGTGGGGCTCGGCTTGGTAGTACTGTGCTGTGCACCGGGTGCAGCACTATGCTGTGGACTCTCTCTCTCTCTCTTAGTGTTCACGTGAACCGGGTCCACGGGAGAAGAGGAAGAGGAAGGGGAACGACGTTTGGCTCTGGGCCCGCGTGACAGAGGGTGAGGGGGAAACAGAGGGGAACGGAGACAGACAGCAGTGAGGTAGCACGGCGAGGGAGAGAGCAAAGGCCAGGGGCTCGCCGGGATAGCTTACGCCGGCGGTGCTCGTGCTCGTAGTTCACCGTAGTGAGGCGGACGGTGCTCCTAAGGTGGTTCCGCAGCGTCTGGGCTAGTTGGTGGTGGCTGCAGGGGCTCGAGATGGCCATGGCGGCTTGTCGGAGCAATGCGGTGGCGTGGAAGTGGGTCGCGATGCTCTACGAGGTGGTTGAGTGGGCAAGCGGGTGTGGTTCGGACCTGAATACGTAGCGGGTGCCATTCCTCGTTGTCGTGCCCTACTAGTGATGAACGGCGATGATGGTGGCTCGGTGGCTAGCATTGCTCAGGAACTGGGCAGTATAGAGGGGTAGGGAGAGCTTGCGGTGGCGGAGCAGGTGGCGGAGGGACGGGTGGGCATGCGGGCGAATCCTATTGGCCTAAGATGCACTAGGGAGAGAGAGCTCAGAGCTCGACTCCTGTGTCGACCATGGCAGCCGGATTGGGGAGAATCAAACTAGAGCTTGATAGGGGAAGGGAGAAGGGAAAGCGAGAGGGAGAGGGAGTGTTCCCGAGCTAGGCGGAGCTTATGGCGTCAATGGTTCAGGCGGGGGCTCGCCAGCCAGGCCAATTTATAGGTCGCCAATGTTGGTTCGCGGCGCCGAGATCTTTTCTCTGCGGTGAGATATTTTGCCGCGCCTCGGATTCCTTCGCACGTGCTCCAGAGCTCAAAGGTGGTGTGGAACAGTGCGTGCTTATCCGCATTTGGCTGGGGAAAGGCAGTAACGGCAAGCCCGAGGTGGCAGAGGTCGATGGCGCGGGCGACGCGGTATTCACGTCGTTCATCTGAAGGTAGACGACGAAGCTGACAAGCCGGGCCGGGGCGTCAGTGGCGTGGAGAGGAGGAGTGGGAGCGAGCTGCGCTGGTGCTGGGCGTGTTGCTGGGCCGGCCCAACGGAGAGAAGGGAACGGCGCGACCGCTCAGCTGGGCTGGTGGCGGCCCGTGGCGGAAGGTGTAGCGGGCTGCTTCGTGGGCCAGAAGAAAGGAGGGAGAGAGATTGAGCCCGAGTTACATTTCCTTATTAGAATTCCTTTTCTATTTCTAGAAAATAAACTAGGCACAATTTGAAATGAATTCAAGTGGATTTCAAAGAGGATTTGAAATGTGGTGTACTTGGTAGATCAAGGGAGGGGTCAAGGAATTATTTGGATGGAGGATGTCAAGGGGAGATTACCAAGGAGAATTATCTAGTGCCAAATAAATTCTAGAGCATACAATCAAACAATCAATCATTCAAGCATTCACACAATCAAGCAATCATCACTCCAAACATTCTAACCTAAATGCATATGGTGGATTTTGATGCAACGGTTTTGAAAAACATTTCCTTTTAAAATGGTTTTGCAAGAAATAAACTAATCAAGTTTTAGTTTGTTGTAAAGTTTTAAAAAGTTCAAATTTTTAGTGGTTTTTACTATGATGAAAAAACACGGGTGTTACAGTGAGCCCATGTTTTATTTTAATTTGCGGAGCTGACAAAACTAAAAAAAAAGTATTTGTACAAGCAGTCCATAACCTCTCTATACATGAGTTTAACAAACCTCCTGTCAGGGTATGACTCGAGGTTCATAGAAATCATCTTTACGAATACTATTCCTATAGGCAGTTCCTTAGATGGACAACCTATAGAAATAAATTCCAAAAACAGTCATTATATTCATCATAGGATATATTGCTGTATTATGCACATTTGTTGTCGCTAATGTTGATACAACTTTTATAAACTCGGTCCAGCTTAAAAGTGTTTATTAAATTAGGGCAACTAGAAGTACGTACTTCCTTTGTGAGATGGATGGATTTAGTAGTTATAGCTTAAAACTAGTTTTGAGATCTACCCTTTAGGGTTAAAAATACTCTTGTCACATTTAACTCTAAATTGTCTTTAATGTACATCATTGATCACTAATATCTTGTAAAATATATTCATAATAATTTACTAGATCTTGCAAAAATATTTTTAATACTCTATGTATATTACATGTTTTTAAACTAAATGATTCAATAATATAGACATTGATGTCTTTAATTTTTAATGTTTGACCAAATTTTACTCATGACAAGTTTAACTTAAAGTAGAACAAGTTTTAATGCTTGACCAAACTAAATAATATTCTTTATGAGATGGATGGATTAGTTGTTATAGCTTACAATAAAACAAGTTTGAGATACACTCTTTCCGGTTAAAAAAACTTTTGTGACATTTAACTCTACATGGTATTTAATGTATATCTTTGATCACTAATATCTTGTAGAATATTTTCTTAATAATTTATTAGATCTTGCAAATATTTTCTAATACTACATATATGATCTGTTTTCAAACTAAAATTTTAATAATGTAGTTATTAATGTCCATAGTTTTTAATGTTTGACCAAATTTTACTCATGATAAGTCGCCAAGCTGGCTTCCAATCCATTGCTACTACCACTATAAAAATAGCTGGCCACACTCGCCACTGATGCATCCAATTCACACAAAAAACTTCATTATTGTCCAATTGTACGTCTAGCAATATAATGGAGCCCTCGTCTAGTAGGGTCGTGTGTTTAGTCCTGGCACTGGCCGTGGCGGCGGCCACGGTCGCCGTCAGGCCGTGCGCGGCCCAGAACTCGCCGCAGGACTTCGTGAACCGGCACAACGCGGCGCGCGCGGCCGTGGGCGTCGGCCCGGTGTCGTGTGGGACGACAACGTGGCCGCCTTCGCGCGGAGCTACGCGGCACAGCGGCAGGGCGACTGCAAGCTCGTGCACTCCGGGCCCAACAACCAGTACGGTGAGAACCTCTTCTGGGGCAGCTCCGGCAAAGGCTGGACGGCGTCGGATGCCGTCGGCACGTGGGTGGCGGAGAGGCAGTACTACGACCACGGCCGCAACAGCTGCGCGGCGGGGAAGGTGTGCGGCCACAACACGCAGGTGGTGTGGCGCGACTCCACCGCCATCGGCTGTGCTCGCGTCGACTGCAACAACGGCGGCGGCGTCTTCATCACCTGCAACTACAACCCGCCGGGCAACTACGTTGGAAGGAGCCCCTACTAGCTAGCTAGCTGGCAGGTGCATGCATGCGGTCATGCATAGTGTGTACGCCTGCAATTGTATGCATGCATCTGCATGCAGAGTGTGTCGTACGTGCTTCTTATGTATTCATCCTCTATATTATTCTCTCCGTATAAAAATAGTAGTGTATGCATACCGGAGAGCATAATAATCTGTAACATGCATACTAATAAATAAATAAATGATGAGAATAACCATTTTTTCACTATTCTATCAGCCCCAAAATAAATAAAATTTTTGAATAAGACAGGTGGTCAAATTTGGGATAAAAAATGTCAAACAAATTATAATTTGGAACGGAGTGAGTAACTAATATTAGATATGAGCTATTAGCCAACTAATTATTAGCAGATAATGAATCCATACAAGAGCTAAATATTTTGTATAAATTCCATATTCTATACCATACATGTCCATGCGTACAAGACGATTGACACATGGATAAAACTTATATATATGTCCACATCACATGCATGTCGTCAAATATAATGTAACCATCGATCAAGAGGAGACTTGTAGTTCTATATGAAAGTCTCGCTCGATCAAAGTCTTACTACTAATAAATTGAGGCGGAGACCCCAAAAAATAAAGAAAAAAAGATGTGCAACTTGCATATAGTTGGCTGTATGCATGCGTTTAGCAACACGTGTATACTCCACGATGGACAAACAACGGCCGGATCAATTCCGAGTGTGTCGTAAGCCATTGTGACGATCGAGCGAGTTTTTCCTTTTTTCCAATGTTGCATCCTACTCTTCTTCATATATATGGATTTGGCTAACCGATAACATCCGTCAGTCCTCTGTCCTCTGTTTCCCATTGGTGGACGATTAAAACCTAGCAACTAGCCACACTTAGCTTGAAAATGTCATCACCTACTACATACTCATACTACCAATGGGAAATAGAGGAATATATGTACTCATATATGTACAAATTTATAGATCTAAACTGTGTACATATATGACTAGATTAGATTGTATGTCGTTTTGACTTTTTTTAGATACATAAATTTTGTTATATATATAGACATAGTGTATATACCACTAAATCGATTTGTAGAGACGCTCGCTTTTTATGTTGGCCCTCGGGCCCCACTAAGCTAGCCTCATTCACAAACATATCATTAGATTACCGGCCGCCTCTAAAGATGTATTTGTATATAACCGCCTCTACTAATGCTCTAGAAATATACAACAACCTCTTTCTTCCTCATCGGGGCATTTACATGGACCCATGAATAGTTGAACTTAATGCTTGAATAGGTGGCCACGAATAAGGTGGTGGTAGTGGGGATGGTGAGAGTGTAGGTGAAGGTGGAAATGACGACAATGCATGTGTCCAGGACGAAGATGATGGTGATTATTTGGAGGAAATGCTTCGGAACTTAGACCAGGGTGCTACTTAGGAGCAAAAGATCTAAAAAATTGAAAAGGGTAAAATGGGAAGCAAGGGAGACTTTGTACAGTGTTGAGAAGAATTGTCCGACACACACACTGGATGGTGCTACGTTTTGTGCTTGAGCTGATCGTCCTGAAAGGCTAAGTACATTTGGTTGGATTGTAGTTTCAAAGAACTCTTGCGTCTCTTGTAATGGTTGCTCCCGCAGCCAAACTCTGTTCTCACCAAATTAATCTCTAGTAGCGTCTAGTCGTTTATGGTTCTTTCGATGATTCATCCAGCAAATTAAGTACGTAGTGCACAATTTGCCTAGCTAGTTGCTTGTGTAAAATTATCATGACGATCGATTGAATTTTTCGTTTTCCAAGTTGCACACAACATGTGTTTTCCAAGTTGCACACAATAGCGGGTTCTAAATTTTCCAAGTTGAATTTTTCGTTTTACAAGCTAAGGCGCTTGTAATTTTTGGTTCAGCTGACAAGGTCATAACACAACGCTGTCGATAAACAAGTTGTGTTAGGGACATATAAATTAAAACCGGATGTATATATATTATTCAATCCCATAGAGCATCTACCCAACTGAATCACAGTAAGTTCATGAATTACGACGAAGTTTAAATCTAAAAATGTATGTCAAGCTATCATCATATCCGTTTCAATACTGCCATGGTTGTTGGCAATCTTTTCAAGCGTGGAAGTTTTCTCCGTCGCGGGGACTTTTTTAACATCCACTGGTGCACGACTAACACCTCGCTCACATCTTGGGACTTGGAAATATGTCAGCTCCCTTGATAATATGCCATATCTATGCACCGCTATAAGAAATGATTGTCATTAATTAATCTAAACCAAGTCATTACTCTTAATTGGCTCAAACTCAGCTCAGTTCAATCTAATCAATCCAATAGTCCTTGAGATACACCACGTACACCTCACTCACAATTTTATGGTTGTAGAACATGCACATTGAACGCCACAAGGACGAAACTTAGATAAAAGGAAATTACTTCACTATTTCAAAATTCGAAATATACTAGGTTCTACTTTCCAATAGCCTCACAACAAGTCTAAGTTACACAAAATAGTGGTCATGGCAGACCCACTATTCTACTCCCTCCATACAAAAATGGTATTCGTATTAGACTAGAGGAAAAGTCGAACTTTATAATTTTTGACCAATAATTAGCAAATTGTATGAAATAGATTCTAATAGGATTACCATTGTTTGACGGAGAAGAGTACCATACAACACCTACCACTCCAGGTGTGAAATATTGGAATGAAGAGTGAACACATGATTCTTAATTTGCAAAAGTAATTTAATGATAGCACCGTGAGTATAAAAGATAGACTTAATCTACAAATGCTACATAGTTTTCTATGAAAGCACGCAACGATAACAAATTTGGGTAAGTGAAGTTGCATAAAGTAGTTATGATCAAACAAGTTTGGGTAACACATGACATGCTAGGGATTTTATTCACTACACACAATCATATCTTAGATAGAAGGCAAGGTGATCAAACATGGGCTCGATCTAGCACAAGTTAAATTCGGCAACGTACTCTACCTTAAGACCAACTATCAAGAGCCTCACAATTCGAATTAGTGGTCATATGGGTTCATTCCCAAGCTTTTGTTTTTTGGCGCGGCCAAAGGATATAGTGGGCACGCACCCTTTAACCCACCCACTCCCCCACCGCAACCCTGCTTGGCTCCAGCAGTGCTCATGCCGTTACCTCCACCCTACCATCTTCCTTGCTAAATTGAAGCTCATTTCTTCTTCTCTGACCAAGTGTTCTTGACTCCCACACCACCGCCACCCCCGCTAAATTTACCATGTTTCTCTTTCTCTGGCCGAGTGCCCCCGAGGTTAAGCCTAGTCCCCTCCTTCTTGTTCATCGGTTGATTCCCTGCTGCCAGCACCATCCAACTGGCCTCTCCCACCGACCTTATGGGCTGCCTTCCCGTAAGCCCTCCTTCTAAGTCCATAGCCATGGAAACCCTCCTAACCGCCCCCCTAAGCCCCGAACACTAATGGCGGCAAACTGAAAGTGCATCTAGCCCTTTAGTGGGTTTTGGATGATTGAATGACAATGTGATTAAAGGTCTAACGCGTTTGCTAAGTGTGGACAGGTAATAGGTTATCTCACAGGTACTTAATAAAAGCCAAAATAATGTGTTGTTGTATAAACAATCTAGTTCAAGCACAAGACAACAATGCAAATGGAATTCATGCAAAGGCTTATTTATTGTGGGATTTCCATGTACTATGTGAAAGCAAGCCCGGTAAAAACTAGTTGATGAGACATGAGGGGTTGCATATGGAATGGTCTCATATTTGAATTGCTAAATTAAAATTAAAAAGATGACAATACAAATGAATGGATGATTCAACACAAGATGTGACTTGATGGCTTCAGATGGTGAAGATAGCAAGGAAAGGCTTCGAGGTACTAAGCAAGGGTGAATGGCAAGCGACGGCTTGACGGCCGAAGAACCTAGCTAGGGTGAAGAAGAAAGTACTTGCATTTAGTTGAGGTACTAATCAAGCTATGATGGTCATATTGATGTGGAGGATCAAATCTATATTGGACAAAGTGTTGAAAGTGACTTGATGCATTTGGAGTTATTCATATTTAATGAATGGAATCAAGTCACGTGCTCAAGATGGCTATGCTCAAGTGAAAAAGATCAAAGTTGACATGTTGGCACCCTCACTTGATGAAGATTGGAATACACGACTTCGGTTGAAAGAGATCAACTCAAAAGGTTTAAATTTGTTATACTTTTAAATTTGAGTTAATAGGAATGCCGTACTATTAAGAGGGATGCATCATGTTGATAGATAATGTTTCATAAGTACTCAAGCCAACACATGTGAGTTTTTAGAGTGTTTGAGAGACAAAAGAGCTAACTTGTTTTGCTGGTCTGGCAATACCGGATGTCTGGTATGTGCCCAGCCACGATAAAATTCTTGATGTTCTTGGGTTGGTTCGTCTGGAGTTCCGACGTGAGTCAGGAGTTCCGACGGTCGGGAGTTTCGGACATGGTCGGGAGTTCTGACGTCTTGCGCTTAACTGACTTGGAGAGTTCACTGTGGTGGTCATGGACGGCTAGAGGCCAACGGCTAGTTTACAAATGCCTTGAGGGTCGGGAGTTCCGACGGTTGGGAGTTTCGACATGCATCGAGAGTTTCGACCCCTGACACACTATAACTCAGTTACCGTTGGCGCAGTGTAAGTCATACCGGACGTGTCCGTTATGGCAACGGCTATAAAATGGCTAGTTTTTCCAAGGGGGCTATAAATAACTCCAAGCCTTCACCTTTGGAGGCTGCTGATTCTGCTGATCCTCTAGCATGTTTTTGAGCTTTGCCAACTCTCCCAAACCCTCTCTTAGTGAGTGATTCATCTAATTGCCTAATTCATTTGTGGGTTAAGAGAGAATTTGAAAAAGAGAGCAAGCCACCACTTGAGCACTTGTGCATATTGTCTATTTCATAATTTGCATTTGTTACTCTTGGACTCTTCGGTCCTAGATGGCTAGGCGTCGTCGGGGAGCACTCGAGAGATTGTG